TTCATCATGTCCTCAAAGCACTATCCTCTAGATGACTGCCTTTAGTAGCTCTCATTCTTCTCGTAGCATCCCGTAGAAGAACTAAGAAAATAAGAGAACTAAGCGTACATTCAAAAATAGATCTTCAAAGCAATAGAAAAACCTATACACTATATGGTTCTTCTAGGGCCTAGTGGATCGAGCCCATTCACCATATATTTGAAGCATTGACCTTAATGGGATCGGCCATACACACTAACCTTACCCATGGAGATGATGGCTACAAGACTTGCCTCTCAGAAAAACTTAGTGATCTCGTTTATCGAGTGCCTCAGTGTGTTAGAGTTTACAGGAGCTCCTCCGACTAAACCTTCTTATACTTGTTTTTCACGTGAGCTTTTCCGAGACTCCGGCCAAGTTTGTCCATGCTCCTCGAGCTCGTCTGCACCCAACGAGCTCTCCAATTGAGCTTGCTTGTATCCATCAAGCTATGTCATTAAATTTGTTGAACACTCCTTTACAACACAATGACAATTATGTTTCATCGTCCTCCACACCTATTTGTTGATCTTCTGACGTCCATACCTAGGGTTTTATCAACAAAGACTCTCAGCAGGCTCCATATAACACAACCATGAACATTATAGAAAGTGCTAAGCAAATTATAACACTTCTATATTTTTTTCTTATATATAAGAAAATGCTATTTGAACACTCTTAATACCAAGATCATAAAATATATATATTTTTTAATATTACACGATAAAAATTAATTTTTTTTTGCACAAAATATAAAATTCATACATGTTTGAAAATATTTACTTGATAAATAAAATAATCGCCACATTTAAATATTTTTTAACATTGACCCAAATAGTGGACTTTAAAAAAATTATAATATTATTAACTTATGTATACCTATTTAATTTTTTTTAAATTTTAATTATTTTTTATTTAAAAAATGTATTTTTACATACTTGCCACATAGTTCTTATATATTTATACAGCCAAAATCTAAACTTTCTATTTACATATATACCATTGAAATCTCTAAAATATTTAAGTTTTAGAGGTATTTATATAAATATAAATTTCTATTAAAATAAAAAAAACAGTTTTAAGAATTTTCGCCTTTACACGAATATTTCCCCCATTACCAGACTGGCCGAGGTTTCCCTTCCTCCATATGGCACCTCCTCGTCTTCCCGCCATTGTCGTCCCCCTCACTACCTCCAAACACTAAACTTTCAACCCCCAAATTCTTAATTCCCTCCTCGTTACACCCAATCCAAACCAAACCTAACTATCCATCTCCATTCCCCTCTCTCCACCTTTCTCCCTGCTCCATTCACCATGAACCCACTGCTTCACCCACCTCCACCGGAACCCACCGCCGGAGTTCCCCTCTCCGGCCTCCTCCCACCAGACTCACTAATTGAATCTCTTCTCCAGTCCTCCGCCGATCTCACCGCCTTCGACTCCCTCCCTCTCCTCCAAACCCGCAACACCACCGCTGCCGTTGCGCGCGCCAGGCTCATCTCCTCCTTCCTCGAAGACCTCCATGACTCCACCAGACGCAGCAGCGGCAGATCTCTCCCTCCCTCTTCCATTCTCTGCCTCACCGAGCTGTACTCAGTCATCCGCCGGACAAAATCCCTCCTCAACGATCTCTCCTCAGGAAGCGCGTTATGGACTCTGCTCAATGCAGAATCCTTCGCAAAACGCTTCCTTTCCTCCACCAACGAGCTCATGGCGGCGCTCGATATCCTCCCTCTCAGTCTCCTCCCCATCTCCCAGGACATCCGCGAACAGATCGAGCTTCTCCACCGTCAGACCAAACGCGCCGCCACCGCAGGCGGCGGGGCGTTTGTTGACAGCCGGGAAACCCATCTCCGCGAGGAGCTTCTCTGCATCATGGCGAAAGAGAAGGGATTTCTCGATTTCAACAAGGTGGAAGAAATCATGAGCAGACTTGGATTACGAACAGCCGCAGCTTACCAGGAGGAAATCAAACGGCTTGAATCCGAAATCCTCAAGCAAGCAGGGACTGGTGGTCTCATGGCTGTTTCCAACATAAATAATCTCATATCCTTCGTCTCCTATTGTAAAAACATCATCTTTCGTTGCAGCCAGACAGACCCCATTCCCAAAGTCCTCAGCCGATCGTCTTCCTGGTCTGTAGCGACATCGCAGCCTATCGTCAACACTATCCCCGACGAGTTCCGGTGCCCTATTACTCTTGATTTAATGAAGGATCCGGTGGTTTTGGCCTCCGGCCATACTTACGATCGGAGCTCCATTTCCCGGTGGTTGAAATCCGGCCATCAAACCTGTCCGAAGAGCGGACAGAAACTGAGTCATATGGCATTAATCCCAAACTACAATCTCAAGAGTCTCGTCGAGCAATGGTGCACAGAGCACAATTTTTCCCCCACTCCGTCGCATCGACCTCCCAATACAGCGGTCGTCACTACCGATCATATCTCAGAAACCCGCGCGGCCATCGAGGCGGTGAGAATGACGGCGGAGTTTCTAGTCGGAAAACTAGCGATGGGCTCGCCGGAAACACAGAGACAAGCGGCATACGAACTCCGGCTGCTCGCCAAATCCGGCATGGATAATCGCCGCATAATAGCAGAAGCCGGCGCAATCCCTTTCCTCGTCACTCTCCTCGGTTCCCGCGATCCCCGCACGCAGGAGAACGCGGTGACCGCTCTGTTAAACCTCTCCATCTTCGAGAACAACAAAACCCTAATAATGGCCGCCGGAGCGATTGAATCGATCGTAAAGGTGCTGCGGGATGGGGAAATGATGGAGGCTAGGGAAAACGCGGCGGCGACCATTTTCAGCTTGTCGATATTGAACGAATGTAAGGTGCAGATCGGGAAGAGAGTGGAAGCAGTGGTGGGGTTGGTGGAGCTGTTGAAGCAGGGCACGCCGGCTGGGAAGAGAGACGCGGCGACAGCTCTGTTGAATTTGGCTGTTTATGATCCGAACAAGGCGGCGGTGGTGGCGGCGGGGGCGGGGCCGGGGCTCGAGCTATTGATGGATGAGAAAGCGGGGATAACGGACGAGGCGCTGGCGGTTCTCGCGGTGCTTTGCGATTGCAGGGAGGGGATGAGGGTGATAGGGGAGAGCAAGGTGGTGGTGGCGATAATGGTAGATTTGATGAGGTTCGGGTCGGAGAAAGGGAAGGAGAACGCGATTGCGGTGCTGATGGGATTGTGTAAGGATGGGGGAGCGGAGATGGGGAGAAGGTTGCTGATGAATGCGAGGAGCGTGCCGTCGCTGCAGAGTTTGGCGGCTAGTGGATCCATGAGAGCGAGGAGGAAGGCGAATGCGCTGCTGAGATTGCTTAATAGGTGCTTCTCCCAGTCTAATTCCGCTCCGGCGTGATGAAGATGATGGTCAGTTTTGTCAAAGTTGGTACCTTTGGTGAATAACATGAATTGGTTTGGAGTTTTTTTCCTTTTTTTTTTTTTTATGTACATTTTGTATGCTGTTTTTTGACCTGTGTCAGATGGGAAAAAAGTGGTTTTTATTTTTTATTTTCCTATTGATATAGTCTGATTATAGGCTCTCCAATCTTGGATGAGGAGCTCCTATTGATAGAATGAGATTAAGTTATTGAGTAAAGTGTGAGTCGTTGTAACTTGATAGATAGTTAGTTACTTGAGGAGAGAATCTTTTAGGGTGAATTTAAGGCTTTATTGTATTGTTTAGGGTTAAAACGTGATGAGGTGCTTCGATGGTGTTTGTGCGATGGTTGGGGATGGCGAGTAGGGCTGTAAACGAACTTGAGCAGCTCAGGTTCGGCTCGTGTTCGAAACCGGCTCATGAACAGTGTGTTTGTGTTCGGCTCGATTTATATATTCGTGTTCGTGTTCGGTTCGAAATTGACTTGTTAAAATTAAACTGAAAAAATAGATGTAGAGTGCTAGATTCGAACCTGTATCAGATATATGCAAAATAATGTGGATAACCACATTGCCACAAGAGCAGTTACGATTTAAACATA